TGCAATAGGCTAGGCCAAGCATGTCAAAATCAAAGGCTAACATGGGCTAAATAAACAAGGTTTAGGTTTTATGGACTGCAAAAAAACTAAAACTTCAGTTTTCATAGAAACGTAGGTTTATTTAGAAAAGTACAGTATAACAAAAGTTGCTTAACCACTTAAGGACCAAACTTCTGGAATAAAAGGGAATCATGACATGTCACACATGTCATGTGCCCTTAAGGGGTTAACTGACACTGGACGTCCTCACGCTCGTAGATCTTTAAAGTAAACAAAAGAGCAAATTTATTTTAAGGAGACGTGCATTTGCATATAACCAATGTTTCAGTCCAACTACCTTGACATATTAAGAACAGTTTGGTAATGGGACTGAAATGGTGAATGTATGCTGTTGCACAGCTGTAAAAAACAAATGAGGTTATTTTATAGGTTGTGAAGTCCTATGAGTGTGCTCTTCACTTTGGCTGAGATGATCAAACTTGATGATCTCAGCCAATCCAATGCTATCCCATAGGAAAGCATTGGGAGGCTATTGTGCATGTGTGGAAAAAAGCTGCACAGCCAATCAGCAATTCCATGGGGAGCGCCTCCATGCAGATCCAATCTAATACACTGCACCCTCCCCCCATTCTAATACTTTGCCCACAAATCCAATAAATTTCCTTAAATACAATCTTATGCACTTCCCCTAATATAATACACTGCCCCTCCTCCCATCACTCTAATTTAATACAGTGCCCACTCCATCCCCCAATTAATACACTGGCCCGAACCCATCCCAAATTAATATACTGCTCACGCTTTCCAATTTAACACACTACACAGGAAGATCCCCCAAGCCCCTCTTCTCCTAATTTAAGATGAGCCGCCCATCCTCCAGTTCCAGCCCTTCTCTGCAAGCAGGCCAGATGCTCCTCTTGCACTGCGAGTAGGTGGGAAGGGTGAGTGGCTGGCCTGCTCTGCAGACACTCTGCCCTCTTGTGGCCATGGGAGGGAAGGCAAGAATCAGACAGGAAATGTCCTGTGTTGCGGCTGGTCGCAGCCCCAGCACAAATATATTAATTGTGGGCCACAAGTTTGAAATGCTTGGGCTAGGACCTCTGATGTTAGGTCATTCTTAATTATCTGGGGTAGACTGTAGTTATGTTCTGGTCAAATGCCTTAAATGGTGTTTATACTCCTACTACACTAGATCTGGAATTTTGGTAATTTCTCTTTGTATTTTTGGATACTTATACAGAAGGTTCTCTTTTTATTGGAGGTGATTTTAACGCTGTGCTCTGCCACCCAATTAATCACTCAGAGGCATGGTTAATCTCGTCCACCCAACTTATACAGCAGAGATAAACTCTTTGCGACTTGCATTCAAGAGCATAATATGGTGGATCTTTGGAGGGATTATACTTAATTCTTTAATGAAACCTAATTAAGCACCCGGTAAGGATGGAATCACAGCTGCTTACAACAACATTTTCCTGCATTAAGACTCCCTTTTTAACTCAATGCTTGCTGGCAACCTCCTCTTTGCTTGCTATTACTCTTATACTTAAATCTAACAAACCTCCCTGATAACTTTAGACCTATTTCTCTCTTTAACACTTATGCCAAACTCTTTGCAAAACTCCTTACTTCTCATCTGAGTCAGAATCTCTCAAAATATATTCATCTTGACAAGGTCAGTTTCATCCAGAGTAGACAGGCATCTGAGAATACTCATAGGAATATTTATCTTAGCTGCAGTTATTACATTGCAGGTTTTACTCAACCTTTAGTGGCTGTTTTCCAGACAGACACTAGAGATGTTTCCAGAGTTTTACTACCTCAGAAAGCATTGCACTGTCTCACACTTTGCATTAGAATGCCTAATATCATCACATTCTCCATAAGAAAGCAGGGATTCAAACCTTTCCTATGGCTAAGCTTTAATGCGGCCGTGGCAAGAGCCTATAGGCAACACCATTAAGTTTAAACATTATAGGACTCTTTACAGGAAGTGTTTGGAAGGCTGTGTGACTAGTAATTAAACTCCTAAATGGCAGAGAATTGAGCAGTGAGACTGCAGGGGCATAATCTATATACAAAAACTGTTTTATTAAGCTAAAGTTAAGATTTATAAAACCAAATATGTATTTATTTTGCATTACTCGATCACACGTGTGTGTGTGTGTATATATATATATATATATATATATATATATATATATATATATATATATATATATATACATATATACACACACATATTTTCTAAGCAGCGAGCACTCACAGGACTTATTCTAAATATAATGATGTGCTTTTATTCAGCAAAAATCAGTGTTCATACATCAAGTGTCAAGTGCATAGGACTGGAAAATATAGAATATGCTTTACAGATTCTCTTTTTTTTTGTGAACTATGTTAAATATATAAATATATTCAAGCCAACCAATAACAGCATCGGACAGCCAAGTCTTGAGAGAAGAGAGACTTGGCTGTCAGAGTAATCAGATTGGTTGGTTTGAAATTATTTTAATATGGTTCACAAAAATTAGAATTAGTGTGATGGGGGTATGGACTTTATTTTTGGGGGCTGGCTATGGGATTGGGGTATTCTAGCCACCCACAGGGGTTACTATTATTTGGGGGGTAGACAATGTTATGATCATCCCCTATTGTATACATATTTACGGCACCCACCTGCCACACATTGGACAATAGATCCCCTATTTATTTTGTGGCCAAGACCCACAGGCATGGGTGGGGGCCGAGGGATGTGACAGTAGATTGTCCCCCTTATTGTAACGGTTAGGGTTCCCACTGATCGGCATTGGTGGGAGCCTAGGGAGTGGATACTAGTGATGTCGCGAACGTGAATTTTTTGGTTCGCGAACGGCGAACTTCGGCAAATGTTCGCGAACCCGCGAACCGCCATAGACTTCAATGGGCAGGCGAATTTTAAACCCACAGGGACTCTTATTGGTTGAAGGGGGGGGGAGACCTACTCTCCTCCCCCCCCCGGGCAGCGGCCATAAAGATAATGAGGAGGGGACCTAATGCGCGGCGGGTGGGGGGTGGTGGCGGGGGGGACCTACTGTCCACCCCCCTCCGGCCCCCACCCCTGGGCAGCGGGTGGGGGCCATAAAGACTAATGAGGGGGGGACCTACTGTCCTCCCCCCCCGGCCCCCACCCCTGGGCGGCGGGTGTGGGCCACAAAGACTAATGAGGGGGGGACCTACTGTCCTCCCCCCCGGGCAGCGGGTGGGGGCCACAAAGACTAATGAGGGGGGGACCTACTGTCCTGCCCACCCCTGGGCAGCGGGTGGGGGCCACAAAGATAATGAGAGGGGACCTACTGTTAGTATTTAGGGCCCCCACAGGGGGGGGGGGACCCCCTTTTTTTTTTTTTAAAACAGTGAGCAGCCACAGGCTGCTCACTGTTTAATAGACATGCCCCTACTCGCGGTATTGCGCGTTGGGGCACAATTAACTAATACTAATAATTTTTACTTAGTATTAATAAATTAATAGGGGGCGGACTGAACATCGCATATGTTCGCCGTCCGTGGCGAACGCGCTATGTTCGCCAGGAACTATTCGCCAGTGAACCGTTCGGGACATCACTAGTGGACACTAGGACTAAGCCCACCCTCCATTTTGTTTTTTAAATAGGAGTGCCCCCACCCATCAGCATGGGTGGGAACCAGGGGAGCGGACATAAAAGTCCCCACCCAATGCCTACAATTGGAGGCAAAGGGGAGTAAGTATGTACACCGATCATTTCACAGCGATGTGGGGACTTCTGGAGATACATTACATCCATTATGGTAATATGACCCCATAAGGTTTTCTTTGGGGTTTATACTTTTTGTCATGCAGCAGCTGGCTAGTAAACACTGGTAAGCCATATACATAAACCTTCACCCCGCAGAGGGTTTTAGAGTATGTGCCAACTAGCACTGCAGTTGGATTGCGATAGTTTTACCCAGATTTTGTCCAGTTACTCTGGCTATAGCTATCCCAAAGTTCTCATTTATTGTTTCCCTAATTAAGTTGTAATTAGTGCACAAGTTACTTGTGCATTCCTCAACCCAACATGCGTAACTTTACAGTTATCAATATTAAACGCTGTCTCTTCACTGAGCAGTCCCCCAATTTATCCAGTCCCCTTTGCAGCGACGTAATACCCTCCCTTACACGATATTGACTTATCTAATTTTAATGTCCGTATCATTTGCAAACACAGACGCACACATTGTAATGATTATGGTGCTTGGACAAAAACAAAAAGTTAATTGTTTTGACCAAAATATGGTGTGTGGGAAAAGAGTTCGGAACCGAGTTTGATAACATTATTTCCATTGCACGGTGGGGTCCTTTTTAATTGGTGGGATTGAAACTTCAGGAGAGAGCACAATGTATGGAGCCAAACACAGGGCAATTCTGTATTAAATTCTGTTTCAGTCTGCAAGGCATCTGAGACTTTCAGTAATATGATCATAGCACACAGAAAATGCTAAACTTGCCATACAACACTTGGAAATAGAAAAAATAAATAAAAAATAATGTTTTAGAATCAGCCTGTCCAAACCCCTGTATCAGCAATCTCATATGAGATAACAAAGCACACTTAAAAGTACTTGTACATTATAAAACTATGCTTTAACATTATCGTCTCCGAGCATGAAAAACTCACACAGTTCTATACATTTAGGAAACAAAATCAGCGTCTATTTATAAAAATTAAAAATTTCTAAATATGTATCAATCACTATGGAAACCAATGGACCTTTCCTGCTGATTGATGCACATTTTCTATTTTTCCCCAAAATTGCACTTTTCTCCTACTGACACTTATACATCTATCCAACTGAGATGTAATTTAATTTTCTCCTGTATAAGCAGCTTTGATATATTCTTACAGTCAGTACCACCAAGGCTATCTAGAAAAAATGTAATGTATGAATGCTTACTAGAATATTCTTTTTATGATTACCCAAAGTGATTTTGCAATTGTTCACATGTGAGATGTTGCTATACAGGAAAAAGTAGGCAAAAAACCTTCAGAGGCCAAAACACCTTATTACAACAAAAATAAAATTAGAACAGGGTAAAGCCACATACATGTCTTTATTAGTAATGTTAGCAATATGTTTAAAGCCTTGACATTTTACTGAATGAAAGTTTGTTCTAATCTATGTAAGAGGAGAAGAACCTTGTTCGTGCTGCTAGGTGTTTTGATTAATCCACAGTACATTGTGATTAGAAGTGTTGGTTGTTATAAATCAGCTGGATGGACACTGAAAATAACTAAAAAAAAAATACACAACAAGTCAGAATTAGAAGACAAAAGAAAGAAAGGATATGCAATATAAAAATATAAATCAATAGACTGTTTTGTAACATTTGGAAAAAGAGCAGACAATGTGCACGATAACGATCCATTCAGAAAAAAATATTTTCCTTTGCCCCTGAGAACAGTATTTATTTTTTAACAAGCACTGGACAAAATACATAGTTTGTTTTTTTGGCTCAGTTAGTGGTATTTCAAATTTAAGATGAAAAACTTTATTTTATTTTTTAAACATTTTCTTTCTTTCTTCAGCTGGAAAAGGCTTAAAAAAAGAGTAACTAGAATTCCTCCTCTGCATGTTTGCTTCGTGACTGTTTGAGTTGAAGAAGTCTCGCAATGGTTTCTTCAACTGTACGTTCGCCGTGTACTTTGTTATCTCTTGTACGGATATTTACTGTTCCACTCTTTTTCTCTTTTTCTCCAATCACTAAAAAAATATATAAGTAAAGAAATTTAAAAAATTGAAACAGATTGGTATTATACATGCATATATGTCTGACATACACAGCATCAAGGACAGAACATTTTCATTCGACCTTTAAGAATCCAAACACAATCTATGAACAGGACAAAAGGACACCATCCAGCAGAAGAGCCACAGTAGACAGAATTTAGAACTTAATTATGGATATTAGCTTTTCTTCCAGACAGGTATGGGCAAATCTCTCTCTAAATCTACTCTCTCTCCCTCAAGCTCCTATCCTTCAAACTTTTATTAAGCAGGTTTTCATTGAGTTCTATTTATACATCTCTAACTAGGATCGCTAAACCGGTACCATGTCAAATATTATACCCGTTTGTGTTGCTGTTAAACTACAGAGTTTAAACTAAAAAAAAAAAAGAAAAGAAAACAGAGCAATCCTATTATCATATTTTTGTCTAGCATCTAAAAAGAAGACTCAAAAGTCATGACAGTACTTTCACTATTGAATTACATATGGTTGGTTTCAATAGGGATAAAATTATACTACAATCTATTAATATTTATTTTTGGAACAGGGAGAAGAAACAGCTATCGCTGTCCAATCCATGCTCTGTCCTGGTACTGCCGTACCTCCATAACTAGTATGTATGTATAAATTAATAAAGTTACAATCTCCCTCCTAAAATCAATAGAGCTATGATAAATCAGAAGACAGTATAATCCATAACAAATGTGCCCAAACAGAACAACTCGCAACTATTATCTCATTTTTGGGAACATTTTAGTCCACACACAGAATGTTTAGTAAAACCTTAAAGGAACACTATAGGGTCAGGAACACAAACATGTATTCCTGACCATATAGTATTAAAACCACCCTCTAGCCCACCTACCCCCCAAATATACTAAAATCTTACTTGTATTCAAGTCTGAAGCTGCTGGCTCTGCCCCTGTCTGCCCATGAAACAGCTGACATCATCAGAAGTGGTGGTCTGAGCCAATCACAATGTTTCCCCATAGGATTGGCTGAGACTGTCAAGGAGGCAGATCAGGGGCAGAGTGAGCACAATCAAACAAAGCCCTGGCCAATCAGCTTCTCCTCATAGAGATACATTGAATCAATGCATCTCTATGAGGAAAGTTCAGTGTCTGCATGCAGAGGGTGGAGACGAAATGGCAGTGCTGCTTATTCTGCAGCACTGCCCCAGGGAGCACCTTTAGTAGCCACCCGAGGAGTGGCCAATGGAGTTATCACTAGGCTGTAATGTAAACACTGCATTTTCTCTGAAAAGACGGTGTTTACAGAAAAAAGCCTGACTGAATGATTCTACTCACCAGAAGAAATACAATAAGCTGTAGTTGCTCTGGTGACTAAAGTGTCCCTTTAACAAATAACTGATGTTTGTATCAAATCACATTGACTAAAAAGTTAGTTCTCATTACTTTAAAGATATAGAGAGAGAGGCTGGAGAATAAATCTAATGGACCCACTAAACATCACATCTATGTTTTCATAAACTAAACTACTTGGTAGATTCATCCAATCAGAAAAGAGCTAGAATGAAATGCGTAGTTACTGAGCAGTAAATGCAGTCTGTAAAATGAGGGCAACTACCTCTGTTAAACCAAGGCATCGATTTAATAAGCTTTCTAAATGATTTAGTACTGTTAGAAAAAAATCCAAATGATTAATTAACCAAAATTCCCATAGACTTTAACCCCTTAAGGACCAAAATTCTGGAATAAAAGGGAATCATGACAAGTCAGGGGTTAATGGCGGCTTCTGTAGATCACGTGGAAACTTTTTTAGCAGTATTAAATTGATTGGAAAATGTATTAAAATGTTTTTCCAGGAAACAGTAAAACTGAAAACAAGTTTGGAGAGCTTTTACTTATTTTGTTTATAAAGCTGGAACTTTTTAAAATTGCAGTTTTATAAAAACTGAACTTGAGTAATTAAGGTCTGTAAAACGGGGAAAATGTGTTATATCGTAGCACAGCAGTATTCACAAGGGAGGTAAAAAAAAATATCTAAGTTGGAAGTTGATGTTCGCACACACAGACATATTGCAACGTATGGAAATAGATTGGAAGCCACTGATCTCTGTAAGACTAAAATAAGTGTTTCTACCACACGCTGGTTAGCAAACCACATATAGCTGTCAGATGGGACTATTCAAAACAAGTGAGAAATAATTCCTCAAAAAGAAACGGCAAAAATGTATACTACGTATAGAAACACAAAATAACGGACAAGACAAAAAAAAAAAAAAATTCTAAACCAGAAAATGTTTCCACTACGAAGCTAGTACCAATCACACCCCCCACCCCCTACAAAATGGGACTCAAATGAAAATAAAACAACAATTTCATTCAATAAAAAAAAGTTGCGGTATCCACAAAGAAATTCCAAAGAGGATAAAAAAAAAAAAAGTTAGGACAAAAGAAAAAAACAAGTTTAGCAAAACACACAGAAAATACCATTCATTTCAGGTGACCGATAACATATGTATTGTTTAAGAGCAATGATCACTGGAAGATATATATATTTTTTTTAAAATAAACCTGCAGAATACAGCATTTTACTCTAACTCCATCATGTAAAGTACTTTATGCATAGTTGTATATTGTTTTGTAAATGCTAGTTAATTTTAATGCGAATTTGAAAGCAAGTTCTGTGAGGGTCTCATCTGGGGTTATATCGGCAGGTTGAATCCCGGTCAAATCAACTCATCGGCAGGTGTACGTGAACTGGACAAGACAACCAATGGTATACATCTGCCTACCTCAAATCCTCAGATTATTTACGCTCGTTTTTGAGCAAGGACTTCTTCACCTCTCCTTTCTAATATTGTGAAGTGCTGTAGAATAGGTTGGTGCCATATAAACGCCAATAATAATAAAGAGATGCACACAAATGCTGGTTGTTGTGTGGGTTTTATGGGCAGTTTTTGAGTACGAAGAGTAGAAAATAGATGATTATGTGACATGGGTGTAATTAGACTAAAGGGTGCAGTCTGTAGATCAGGGTTGCCCAAAAGGTAGATCCCCAGATGTTTTTAAAACTACAGCTTCCATGATGCTTTGTCATTCTAAAGGCATGCAGAGCATCATGGGAGTTGAAGTTCTACAACATCTTGGGATCTACCTTTTGCGTACCCCTGCTGTAGATCATGCGGCAAAAAGTCTGGCTCAAAGTTATGAACGGGCATCTACATGTTAACTAAATGTCATCCAAGACCTGCACAGCCACGTGCCCACACAGCCATTAAATAATCTATAATCTAATGTATTGTATACTATGGTATGGATTTGCTCTGCAATAAAAATAAGAATTTTCTTTTATAAGCCTACTGCGTATAACAGAGTTATTAAAAATAAAAATCTTTAGCCATTACAAGGACAAGAAACATTCAGCACAATGAAGGAACTGCTCGTTTGTTGAAATAATATTTAGCTTTTTAAGAAGATGATGTCAGCAATTCATCTGAAATGAGAAGGACATATAGCCTCTTACCGAGAATGAAATTGTACTGAGCCAACTGTGCGTTCCTGATCTTCTTATTGAGAGTGCAGCCTGGATCCAGATCGACATCTGCCATGAAGCCAGCATGGTGGAACTGCTCCTTTACCTACACGGTGCAAAATGATGATACACCAACAATAAAAAATAAAATTGACAGAAAAAAAAATTAAGGTAAACCACTAGATTGTCAATAGCATTGGGGAAATGTAACTTTCTTGCTGTAGTTTCCCTACAGAGTGCAAGAAATTGTCATGATAAGCAAAAACATTAAATCTGAATTCTGGAAATTCATACTTCTGCCTCCTTATAAAAGTGATATCATCCAGACATTTTTTTTTAGCAAAAGTGCCTTGTAGAGACCCGAATAACTATTTACTCAATATTCTACCCATTATAACTCTAAGCATACAGAATACTTTGTGTAGGAGTAAATCGCAGAGCTCTATGGCACCACAAGCCACATTAACACGCATTGCATATAAGTAGGAGAAAATTGCACACAATTAAAACCTGCAGTAATCTCACATTAACATTCTGTGATACTATAATATTTCAGCATTCTTGCTGGGAACTGTTCTTTAATAAAGGGCTTTGCATGAAGACAGAGAATGATTTATTCCTCTTTATGATAATTTCAGTCAGGTTCTATCACCAGCAGACATGCGTTGAGGGCAAATCCGCAGCAGGTAATCCCCTTCCTGGTTATCCCACATCGAAGACAGATTTAGTAAAAGGTTTTTTTTTCTTCGAATGTTGCAGTTAAACTAGTGGAGGCATTATATACTTTAAAGAGACATTATTGGCACCATAATCACATCACACTTTAGTTGTTCTAGTACTAAAACTCAACCCTGCATTTTGTTGATTTTTTTTTTTTTTTTTACTTTTTCATTCTGGTGAGAAGTTTCTGATTTCTGTGTAGAGCTGCTTTCCTGGGACTTTTTGGACTTAGTGCCTCCCTTTAACATGCATTTGTCTTCTTTGAGCTCTATTGATACCTGGGTTTCATGGTGTGAGCAGGGATTTAACTTTACTTACACTACTGTCTATGGGATTAAAATTCCCACTGAAAGAGCTGCATGCTGATCTCCCTTTGAGTTCAGCATGCAGCTCACTTGTCAATCAATGCCACTTACAGTGATACCTGTAACTGCCTGGTGTGAGCAGGGACTTAACTCTGCTCACACTGCATTTTAACAAGAGGGGATTTAAATCCCCATTTAAATGCCTGCCTTCAGCGCTCACTTTGAGTTCTGAAAACAGAGCATCGGTCAGTCTGGGGCCATCACTAATTCTGGCCCAAGCTGACAGAGAGGAGCCGCAGGAATAAAATGATACCTGAGGCTCCCAGTTACCAGCAGCATGGACAACCTTGACGGAATAGGTTTGTCATTGGTCCTTAAAGGAAATTGCTATCTTTATAGAAGAAAGAAACATAGAAACATAGAATGTGACGGCAGATAAGAACCATTCGGCCCATCTAGTCTGCCCAATTTTCTAAATATTTTCATTAGTCCCTAGTCTTATCTTATAGTTAGGATAGCCTTATGCCTATCCCACGCATGCTTAAACTCCTTTACTGTGTTAACCTCTACCACTTCAGCTGGAAGGCTATTCCATGCATCCACTACCCTCTCAGTAAAGTAATACTTCCTGATATTATTTTTAAACCTTTGTCCCTCTAATTTAAGACTATGTCCTCTTGTTGTGGTAGTTTTTCTTCTTTTAAATATAGTCTCCTCCTTTACTGTGTTGATTCCCTTTATATATTTAAATGTTTCTATCATATCCCCCCTGTCTCGTCTTTCCTCCAAGCTATACATGTTAAGATCCTTTAACCTTTCCTGGTAAGTTTTATCCCGCAATCCATGAACCAGTTTAGTAGCCCTTCTCTGAACCTCTCTAAGGTATCAATATCCTTCTGAAGATACGGTCTCCAGTACTGTGTACAATACTCCAAGTGAGGTCTCACCAGTGTTCTGTATAATGGCATGAGCACTTCCCTCTTTCTACTGCTAATACCTCTCCCTATACAACCAAGCATTCTGCTAGCATTTCCTGCTGCTCTATTACATTGTCTGCCTACCTTTAAGTCATCAGAAATAATCACCCCTAAATCCCTTTCCTCATATGTTGACAGAGGCGTGGGGGTGCAGGGGGCCGGCGCACCGGCGCAACATCTGGGGGCCGCACAGTAGTGATCCGGGGCAACGGGCAATTGCCCCCCCCGAGAAATCCGCCGGTCTCCCTCCCCTGTCAGCACATGCAGGTGCAAGCCCTGCAATGTGCATGCGGACCGGAAGGGAGATCAGAGATCTCCCTCCCCGGTCCGCAGGCACTGTGCGGGCAGCCGGCAGGGGAGGGAGAGTGAGGACCCGGAAGCTAAGGCTGCAGCTCCTCCGGGTCCTCCTCTCGTGGGATTTGGAGCATTGCCGCGGTTACCACGGCAACGCTCCAAATCTCGCGAGAGTGAATTCTAGCCCGGGAGCGTGGGCTAGAGTTCACTCTCCACACTGGACCACCAATGAATCCCCCACTGAGACCACCAGGGATCGAAATATGTCCCCCCTCCTCCCCAGTAAAGGTAAGAAGGGAGGGGGGACATAGGATATTTATTTAATTTTAATTAAATAAAAAAATATATATAATAAAAAAAAAGCCACACATACATACATTGCCCCCAATACTGCCCCCCCATTCATACAAACTGTCCCCCCATACACACAAACTGCCCCCCCATACACACACACTGCCCCCCACATACACACTGCCCCCCACATACACACACACATACTGCCCCACATACTTACTGCCCCCATACACACACAAACCGCCATACACACAAACTGCCCCTCACACACTGCCCCCACATACACACTGCCCCCCATACACACAACTGCCCCCCCATACACACACACTGCCCCCCATACACACACACTGCAACTGTTACACACACATACTGTCCCACACATACACTGCATCCCTGACATACACTGCCGCCCTCACTCACACACTACAACCTTCACACACACACTGCACCCCTTACACATTGCACCACTCACACACACCACTGCTCCTATGCCCTACTACAGCCCCATTTCCCAGCAGATCTCAGGTAAGTTGTCAAACTGTTCTTAAACGGTTTGACTACTTACTGTGGGAGGGGGTCCCGGCACTATTGACACCATAACCACTACACTGAGCTGTAGTGGTTATTGTGTCGGATTATTTCTTTAAATAATCTACAAGTGCCCCTCCCGAGATCAGGCTCTGGATCCGCCACTGGCTCGCACTCGCAGCTCTCTGCCCCTGCCTGGCTCACTCACTCTCTCTGCAGCGCTGGCTGTGCGAATCCGATCCGAGCCGCCGGGTCGCCGCCCACTGTGGGGGGGGGGGAGGGTGCCAGGCAGGGCCGGCGCTACTATTAAGGCGAATAAGGCATTCGCCTAGGGCGCCGGCCTCTAGGGGGCGCCCACCGAGAGGTTTCCCGGTGGGCTGCCCTGCTGTAGCTGTCCGGGGATGCTGTGCTGGACGAGCAGCTCTTTAGCCACACCCCAGCGCAGCCACTCACCTGCTGGGCTCCCTCTGCAGCAGATTACCTGCTCGGGCAGTGGGGTTTGCTGTAACTCGAGCAGAGCACTGTGCTTCCTGCAGGCAGGGGGAGCCTGTGAACACTGGAAGCACTGTGAAGGGAGCAGGAAGCAAGCTGTGCTCAAAGTGCATGGCTCTCCTGCTCCCCCAGGAGAAAGAGCAAGATCCTGGATCCTGCAGCCTGGACCTCTGCTCAGCACAGCACCCAGGTATGGCATGGTTAAGGGGGATTGCTTACTGTGTGCATGTTTGTAAATGGGGGAGTGTGTTCAATTGGTGTGTTTGTGTGTGTAAATAAAGTGTGACCTTATGTAAAGTTTGTGTTTGAGTGACAGTGTGTGTGTTAGGGAGAGTGTGCAAGTGACTCTCTCTGTGTGTGTGTGTTAGTGAGAATGTGCAAGTGACTCTGTGTGTGTGTGTGTGTGTGTGTTAGGGAGAGTGTGCAAGTGACACTGTTAGTGAGTATGTGTTAGGGAAAGTGTACAAGTTACACTGTTAGTGAGTATGTGTTAGGGAGAGAGTGCAAGTGACAGTTAGTGAGAGTGTGCAACTTAGTGACACTGTTAGTGAGCATGTGTGACACTGTGTGGTGTTAGAGTGTGTAACTGACAATGTCTATGCCAGTGAGAGTGTGTAAGTTAGAGTGTGTGTGTATAAGTGAGAGTATGTAGGTGACACTGTGTGTGTTAGTGAGAGTAAGTGACACTGTGTATGTTAGTGAGAGTGTGCAAGTGACAATGTGTAGGTCAGTGAGAATGTGTATGTGTTAGTGTGTAAGTTAGAGTTAGAATGTGTAAGTGTGTATGCCAGTGAGAGAGTGTGTGTATTAGTGAGATTGTGTAAGTGACACTGCAAAGGTAATTATTGCAATTTTTAAGAAACTTCAATAATTACCATTCAGGGTTAACTCCTCTAGTGGCTATGCATGGGGACGTCCAGTCACGGAAATACCACTGCGATCGCGCTGCCATTGAGGAGCTAAGGCGGACCCAAGCCAGCACAAAAGACATTGGTGCTGGACCCAGGTAAGTGACAGAAGGTGTTTTAACCCCTGCTGCACCACGAGGGGGGATGCGCTTGACGGAGGGGGAAGCTATAGTGCCAGGATAACAAGTTTGTTTTCCTGGCACTATAGTTTCCCTTTAATATCTACTCAGTGGGCCTCTTTCCCTAAATGTCTCTTTAGTGTAATTCAGAGTTTAGTGAATAAACTTCTGAGGGAATGTAGTTGCATTCGTAAGGGGGCGTCAAAATGTATTCTTGCCTAGGGCAGCAAGAATCCTTGCACCGACCCTGGTGCCAATAAACTTGTATTTAGATGCATTTTACTTTAATTACATAAGTATTTTCATAACAAACAATACATGTGCTTGGGGGGTAAGGGTTTCTTTAACTAATCTAGTGGAAGAGACTCGAGTGCTAAAATCCACGGGTTAGGGGGCGCAAATTACTTGCCTTGCCCCGGGTGCTGACAACCCACGCTACGCCACTGTATGTTGAGGTTAGAACTCTATCAAATATTCTGTACTCTGCCCTTGGGTTTTTACGTCCAAGATGCATTATCTTGCACTTATCCACATTAAATGTCAGTTGCCACAATTCTGACCATTTTTCTAGTTTACCTAAATCATTTATCATTTGGCTTATCCCTCCTGGAACATCAACCCTGTTACATATCTTAGTATCATCAGCAAAAAGACATACCTTACCATCAAGACCTTCTGCAATATCACTAATAAAAATATTAAAGAGAATGGGTCCAAGTACAGATCCCTGAGGTACCCCACTGGTGACAAGACCAAGCTTCGAATATATTCCATTAACTACAATCCTCTGTTGCCTGTCACTCAGCCACTGCCTTACCCATTCAACAATATTGGAATCCAAACTTAAAGATTGCAGTTTATTGATAAGCCTTCTATGTGCAACAGTGTCAAAAGCCTTACTGAAATCTAGGTAAGCAATGTCTACTGCACCACCCTGATCTATAATTTTAGTTACCCAATCAAAAAAATCAATAAGATTAGTTTGGCATGATCTCCCTGAAGTAAACCCATGTTGTCTATGATCTTGAAATCCATGTGTTTTTAGATGTTCATCAATCCTATCCTTTAACATGGTTTCCATCACTTTCCCCACTACTGAAGTAAGGCTTACTGGCCTATAGTTGCCCGACTCCTCCCTATTACCTTTCTTGTAAATGGGCACAACATTCGCTAACTTCCAATCTTCTGGGACTACTCCTGTTAACAATGATTGGTTAAATAAATCTGTTAATGGTTTTGCTAGTACACCACTAAGCTCTTTTAATAGCTTTGGGTGTATTCCATCAGGTCCCATTGACTTATTTGTCTTTACTTTTGACAGCTGAAATAGAACCTCTTCCTCTGTAAACTCACGTAAAGGGTTAATCCTAGCTGGACCTGGCACCCAGACCACTTCATTAAGCTTTAAGAGGTTACAGATACACAGAATTTACCATTATCAAAAAAGTAGAACATATATATATATATATATATATATATATATATATATATATTTATTTATATACCAGGGGAATGGTGAGAGGTAAGCAACTAATACTTTGAAAGCACAGATTCTGATTGGCTATTATCCTCACATGCGTTTATCAGTACAAGTCACAAGTTCAGGTGTGAACCTATACTCAGGTGAAATAGTTTAACATTTTTAAACTAATCAGCATTTCAAAATCTCACAAGAAACAGTTTAAGTGTGATCAAGACAAATATCAAATGTTTGAGATAACATATACAAATTTCTGGTCTGACCTTTTGGGCATATTCATCACAAGTTGGCCCCACTGGTACCACCATCACTTGCTGAGGAGAGAGCCAGAATGGCCTGTAAAATGAACAGCATCATGTTAACAGGATTAATAAATAAAGTTAAATTTGTGTTTTAATCACAAAACACAGACTTTAGGTGCAGATAAATGACTGTTTTCGTGCAGATAGGCAGTTGATGCAACTGGCTAAATATCTATGATACCCTGAACCACAACTGGTAACATATTAAATATATGTGTAGTAAATAATAACAGTGAGATGTACGAAGAGAGGAAAAGCAGGGTAAAGTGCATAAAAGTCTTAAACACGAATGATTAAACCTTACATATGATCAAGATGCTCTATCATCAATAAGAGAAGTTGATTACATTAAATGCAGTGTAAATAGAGTTTCAATTACCATTTCCCGCCATAGTTCTCAACAAGAATAGCAATCATTCGTTCCACAGAGCCCAGGATGGCCCGGTGAATAATCACTGGCCTCTTTTTGTCATCGCCGTCTGGGCTACAAAAGATAAAGAGAAGACTTTAACATTTATTCACCAAGCTGGAGATTTAAAAATTATGTCCTAAAATAATTGAGTAGGGCAATGTATTTTCCAATTTAGTGACTTTTCCTGCTTAGAAAATGTGCATGTTTATGGTCAACTTTCCCCAAAGCACTAATTTAGTATTCCCACTGACCTAACGTATGAGAGGTTAAATCGAATTGGCAGCTGGAAATCCAGTTGAATTGTAGCACACTGGTGGTATCTTCCAATCGCATCCTTAATCTGGATATCAATCTAAAAGAGAAAGTATACAGCAGCATTTTAGCATATGGATTGGTGTGCTAAGAATAAAACTCAAGGTCAGTATCACTATGTGTGACAGCAAGTACGTTATAGAGCAAATTATAGGACTTTTTCTTTTACGTTACGGCAAAAGGCCTAGTACAGGGGTAGGCAACCTTTGGCACTCCATATGTTTTAGACTACATCTCCCATAATGCTTTTACATCCAAAATGCTGGGAACGTATTAAGGGCAATGTATTCCACAACCTCTGGAGTTACCTAACCCACTAAAGTATTTAAATACTTATTTTTTTTTTTTTTACAAAGTAACTTTTTAATGCTACAGTACTGATAAAGTCACTGCTACAATTTACAATAAGACAGTTTGTGTATACTCTTGGGGAAGTGGACTTAAGCAAGCGTAAAGCAGATTTTCAGGAGAAGTGGCAATTATACACCGTGTATGGTATCTTTATTGCACATCAGCATGAAAGTATAACATCCCACAAGAGATATATGTAACCAACACATATTTTGTTGCCACCTGAGAAAAATATAGTATGTTGAAAAGTATATATATTATATATCCTAATAAAAGAAAGTTGTTATTGTAAAACTGAAATGTCGATAGAACAAAAGAGAACTTTAATTTTTCCTAAAAATACCGTGAAGTTCTATCGAGATAGATCGATAGATAGAACATACATACATATTAAAAACGTTCTTATTAGGGGTAAAGTAGAGAAAAAGAAATCAAAGCAAAAAGTATTTAAAGGAGTAGCAAAGAATAGTAAATATCTTGGTAATTTAATTATCTGTCGATTGTTTCCACTGACAAAAGCAATATATTTTCGCCCAAGTCTTGGTCTCCCTTTGACAGAATTTCTTTCCTGATTCAGTTTATCTCAACGGAATCACGGCAAACAGGCTCTTCATTATCTGGATTCTTACATTCCGCAGAGGAAAAGAAAAGAAATCAATCATTCTACTTTAAAGTCAAACACAGAATGTGTTCTTTAATGAGGGGTCGGTAACATCACTTGCCACACAACAAAGCCCTAGAGAGTTTCTAAAGTCCCCAACTGCGAGAGAAACATATTGTGCAAACAGTGGTTTTATGTCACGTGTCATTGATTTAATATATGCATGATGGGAAAAATAATCGATCTCACCTGGTACTGACTGTGTCATTATTTTACAGGTATTGAAAGGAAATTGGAATCTTCAGCATTCATTAAAGAACAGATTAGCAAAAGACAGAAATGGATGTAAAGGGGGAGAAGCGAGGGATTTGTTGCCAAAATAAATGGGTTGAAGGTTAAATTTAAATGTAATAATAAGACTTAAAATTTTTTAATAAGCAGTCACATTTTAATCCCCTAAAATGCATCTGTCAAAACGGGTCTTTTAGAAGCCTAATCATACTGTGTAAATATCTAAAAGCGTCTAGTGGATGCGACAATGTATACAATCTGTGCATTGATGTATAGCACGATTATCTATATGACAGCCCCTGAGCTGAGCACATCCCTCTAGCGTTGTTGTACGTACTTCATCTTTCCTAATTTAATAGTGTCCATTTCTCCACCACAAGTTAAATGGTATTTACACGTTCAGCAACTCTGATGCACAGTAAGTGAGTAGTCAAGTAGATAATAGGCCAAGTAGGTAAGAGCAATAGAAAGGTAAGTTAAGTGTTAAACACACCTATTCCTCACTGCTCCGTTTGACAAGGTGGTCTTTTTTTTTTCTTCTTCTTCTTGCTTAGAAGCTGGGTTCAGAGAATAGGGAACAAAACTTTTCACTTTTGCTTTCATTATTTTAAATGTGGTATCCGTGTTTATACAACTTACCATAGCTATGTAAAAAAGTGGGAAGTCTCAAATGGAGGATGAGAGATCTTAGAGAGATCATGGGATTCTCCAATCTACCTAGCAAGTAAAGAATCTGACAGCAACATAAGAAAAAGGTCCCCACTCTTGATGCTAAATCTGATTGGTGACTACATGCCGCGGGAAAGAATGCATTTCTTGCACCCCATTCCAACACGTTGACCTGTTGTGACTGCATTATGAATGGTATAAGGCATGGTGGCCATACAAGCAGAGGAACCATTTTAGAACCATGGAAACTCCTTTTGTTAAGATGTCACCTTACTATTAGAGGGTTCCTCCACCCACATCTGCTTTTAGAAGTGGTCTTGGTGGTAGGAGTGTGTTTGTGCACCATTTCTGCTTTAAACGCACATACAGAGTAACCTGCACTTTTGTTCCGGGGAAAGGTTGCATGCCGAGCACACGTGACACGACTGGCCGGAGCACTGTCCCCTGCTTATCTTCCTTCCATGCACTCCCACCCAGCCCTCCCTATATTTTGTCCATTCTGATTTTGTTTCTTTAATGTTCAAGGGACACTCCATTGCCCAAATACACAATTAATTAAAATATCACTATTTATTAAATATGTCTCCAGTGAAAAAAATGCATGTTTTCATTGGGACTGTATCTAAACCACTTGGCATAAGATCTTTTGTCTGAAGTCTTTGCAAGGCTTCCCCTTCGAACTCTAGACTTTCAGTGGCTGTCCAATCACAGACTTCCCAATGCAACTCAATGAGTAATTTGTGTAGGTGCATGTGCTCTGGGCAATTGCCTGCCTGTTAAGCCAGGTTAGAACAGGAATACACCAAAAATAGAGTTTGGGAACAAGTCACCTCATGCAATTAAAAAAAAAAATTAAATGCAAACGAGTATGCCACAATCCTTGAAAGTAATTATATATTCTTAAAAAGGATAAAGTCCTTGAAAAAAAGAGTCTCTAGTGCAATAAAGGTGTCCTTTACAGTGGATCAGGGATGGTGTTTGTAGTGCTACAACAGTGCCACCTACAGGTGCTTGTGTAACGGAAGTATAGCTGTGTGTAGTATAACTGCTAACGTATGTATTTTTAGGCTTTAAAAATCTAACCTTGTAGCTACGATATTGTGTGACTGCTTCTAGTAAAACACCATGAATAAATGTATTTGGGGAAAAAAAAATGTATGCAGCAAATATAACTCAAAAGAGAAGTAAATCAGTTTGTGAATCCTCTTGGAGCACATCCATCATAAAGCTCCAAAGAAGGATTTACTGGTGTCCGAAAGTAATAAAAAAAAAATCACCTTCTAGTTCCCAAATACAATACACAATTAAATTGGTTTAATGCTGAAAACTTGTTGAGGTACATCTATTGTGTTTAGAAATATTGTTACTCGAAAATCTGTACACAATGAGGGCACGCATTAGCCTACTGATATCACTAAGTCTTCCAATTCTTCAGTACGGTTGTGGCTGCCTTAGGACCCAAGTGAAAAAGTTGCCACTTATGTTGGAGCCAATGTAGACAAGGAAAATCCCATCACTGATACAACACACTACTTGACTGATTTAAATAATGCCATATTTAATGGACCATATTCCACACAAAAAAAAAAAAAAATCTATCTAGTTAGCATTAGTTTATTCTGTTTCTTAGAAAAATCCACATATTACAATCCATTCTTTTTTTTTTTTTAACTACAATTTCTTTGTTTTCCCACATTTTCTATTCTCAGATTTTCTTTAGCTTTACTGGTGCAAAAGTTACATTTTAATGGTGTATCATTCTACAGGAGAAGAGAAGAGATTTGTATAGAGTAGTAACAGATAGGAGAAAAACACAATTTAATGTGCCAGACTCTGTAATAATGTTTCCATAGGTACTGGAATAATGACATACATTGTAGCAACCTGATTTTGCTGGAAAACTGTATTATAAGAGCTATAATTTTGGGTTTGGATTCATTAAATCAATGTTAAGCTGTGCTAGTGCGATTTCATTTCATTTGTATTCTGGTTGGCATGTGTTTACTGGTCTTTCTGTTAACTGCAAAGCATATCCATGCTTATTAACGGACCGCTGTTTGATTGTGCATTTGTGTTCTGCATTTGCATAGCTAAAAACAGTCTATCGTATACTCTGAATTCCAGAGGAATGTAGCGTGTTACTCAAGCAAAGACTTTCATGCAACCGGAAAACTATTAGTCAAAAGGTGCAATATATTTTATTGAGTCAATAAGCGATCTAGATTCAGGTCCACACAAGCTCTCCCTTGAGGACAGTCTCTCGGTTACTTGTAATGATCAAAGGAATATTGAAATTCCATCCTCTTTTAATTTGCAAATAACAAGCAAAAAAAATCAAATAAAAATATAGTATGTTTGGGTTTAATAAAAATCCTAAACTTGTCTTATTTTATCACATCCTGCAAGGCAATTAATATAATGCAATTCTTTTTTTTGTGTGAAATACCATGATACAATCCCTAAGGCAATCATCATGCAGTGATCATTAGCCATAAAATGTTCTAGAGCCTTTTATGGCACAGACGCATGTTTGTGAACTACAGTTCAATGATGCCCAGGCAACTGTTAGGCCGATTAGACAGTATGAGGAATATAGTTCAGAAAACATCCAGAGCTTATCGACTAAAGATTACGTTTTTTGAACAATCGGACATGTTTTGAAGCTGTATGGTGGCTATGACGAGGTACCAGAGAAAACCTGTTCACCAGGATTGGAGTACAAATGTAGGAATCCAATTCTTAGGAGCATAACATTATGATACCAAAGAATGTCAACATGGTAGTACTTGTAACTACAGGGATGGCAGGAACCAGATATGGTTTTTGAGAAAAGGACAACTAAAATAAACCAGCATCAAATATCACTACAAAATTAAAGGAATGCTCCAAGTACCATAACCACTCAAGATCAGCCAATGAGCTAAGCTCTTCATCCTGCTTAGAAGCAACTGTTACTTCGACATTAGTAGCGAAGGTGGGAAGTGGCACCCAGCACACCCAAAGTCGGAAGTCAAACCATTCAAAAACAGTTTCAACAGCTAACACTAGTGGCGGCACCAGAGCACCTCAGGCACTATAACCACTTAAGAGAGCTGAGGTGGTAATGGTGCTTGGAGTGTTCTTTTAAAAAAAATTTTTTTTTTTTTTAAATCTCCTCGAATAAATAATGACACTTGTAATTATTCTATTCTGTGCTTTTATTTGCTGCATAGTGGAGAGCTGGATGCCTTGCTGCCAAATTGGCAAAATTCAATCCCTACTAGAAAATACAGCATTGACCATCTAAATGAAGATGGATACAACGTTAAACTCCACCAACTGATGTGGTTTACCTCTTAAAAAACAAACAAACAAACAAAAAAAAACAGTATTCTAGATGTAAACCTCAAAATACAGAAAGTTAGAGAATAAATGACGAAAACACATGGATGTTAACACTAGATCAGATTCGGGAGGGGGGAGATCCACACAGACGAATAAGCAAAACCGTGCTTTTGTATTTTTGCATTTCATCAGCTTGGTAGCCTTTAATTTAGTCTCCAGGTGCCAATATCCAGGAGAATACAATCAATTTTAGACATTCCTGCAGCAGCTCTTGGAACCTCTCACTGTATAAATCCACCGTATTGGAAATGAGCATTATTTCATAGAATTTGTCATGTCTTGAAACAGACTGGAATTATATGAATAGCTGGGCGTTAAACAAAGTGGAACCTTGTGTCAAAGTTCATTCAGCTATAACTAAACCAGGTTTATTCACCAAAGTGAGATTTACCAGGAACTGAAAGTGAATTTGAAACTTCAAATAGACAAGCTGGAGAAAAATCTCTAAATCCGCTATGCTTCTATAGCTCAGCTAATTGGCCTTAAACTTGAAATTCACTTACAATTCTCACTTTAGTAAGAAGCCCAATGTAACAAGTCCTGAACGGACTACATTCTGATGGTGGCACTTGGAAAGACAACATGAGGGATATTTATATATTTATTGATAAATATACAGAGCATAAGAGCAAAACCCTGTTAATTCAACCAAGTTTTATTTATGTCTAAAATAATCCATCCATAAGGCATAGAATGCCCTCTTGTGCTTGGTCAAGGAACTACACCATCCTCTAAATAACATGTAGAAACAGGTTTTACTATCCGATATATTTTAAATGCCAGTGAATGAGGTTTGTATCCACTATAGGAGACTTTGAAAGCATTTGCAACGCTACACATATATAGGAATGCAGATTCCACTTTACTCTGTTTTGTACTCAGTTTACCCTTTTCTGGTGTAAATAAAGATTAACAAAAAGCAATGTTACGCAAAGAGAAGCAGTAACAGAAAGAAAGAGATGGGTTTTACTTTATTATGGTGATAAAGAGGTTGAGAGGGATACAAGAGGGCTACGGTGACGGAGGGATACGAAAAGTGCAAAGTAATGCAGAAAGTCTACGGCAGTGGAACATAAAGAGGCATGAGTGCAAGATCTATGGTTGTTGGGAAGTGCACGGCAAAATGGCAAGGCTGTTTAAGATAAAGTGCAGAACGGTGTCAGAGTTGAGCAGAGAGATGCGGCAGAGCTGTGGTGATGGGAAATTGCAGAACAATGTGCCCAAGCTGCGGTAAAAAGGACTTGCATAAAGATGTGACAGAGTTGTGAAGAAGAGTATGTGCAGGTAGATCTGGCAGAGCTGTAGTGTTGGGGAGGTACAAAACAATGTGGGACAGGCAGAACAATGTGACAGGGCCGGGGTGACGGGGGAACGATGTGACAGGGCAACGATGTGACAGGGCCGGTGTACGATGTGACAGAGCCGGGGTGACGGGGAATGATGTGACAGAGCCGGGGTGATGGGGATGTAGTAGGGTTATGGCAGGGTTACAGTGGAAAGGAAGTGCATAGGGATTTGGTAGGGCAGATTAAAGGTGTAAGATGGAGGAGTGATTAAGATCACGACAAAGGCAGATGGAGAGACATGAAACATTAAAAAAATAAATAAAAGTATTTAACTAGGCACATAACATACTTTAATCTTCAGCACACAAACAGAAAAGAAAGGAAAAATTACTGTATATACACACACATAGTATGCAATTAAATTTAAAATAAATTAATAAAACCAACCTTGGGTCCATAGAATGCTCCATCTCCTGGATTTAACACCCATTTCTCTCCAAACTCATTCAAACTGTTTTCAAGTTGCTGAAAATAAAATATTTTTTATGAGAATAATGATTATGGTATGAAATAAAGATGTGAATTATCTTCAGGCGCCACAAAGGAACTTTTAGCGAGAGGATGCAAACGATGTCAGCTTTGGCACAGTATACTATAGACAAGGACGTTTACAGAATAAAACAGAGAATAGCATTCTCTTGGCGTTCTATTCCCATCAGAGACCGGGTCCTTTAATTTATTTGGGCCTTACACACAGTATAGAAATACCCAGTCAGCACATCAGCTGAACGAAGACATCCATCTTGAAAACAGGAGATCTATGTACTACGGGACTCTTCAATTTTGTGAATCTCTTGCATGGTAATTCAGTAAAATTGTCAGGAATTCAATGTGAATTTAAACATTAATAGCAAACCTGCTGTATTGGAAAACAATATCCAAGCCAGTTGTGTTTTTAATTCACCTATTTTCCCTTAAAAAGTGAACTCTAAGTTCCCGTCAAAGTTGAGGGTACAGTGACTTAACGCTGAGCTATGGTGAAAATAAAACCATATTGCAAAGTTAAATGGACACTGTGTTCACCAGAACAACTACAGCTTAATGTAGTTGCTCTGGTGTCTACAGCATGTCCCAGCAGGCTTTTCAATGTAAGAAAAATAAGAAAAGGGTCAGCGCTAATAAAATTTAAGTAAGGTAGGCAGCGACCCAACAGAAGGTAACCCTCAAACCCTCTGAGGAGAGAACATGTAACACAATACTTTTCCTGTATTTCTTTGTGTTACATTTTCAATGTAAGCAATGCTTTTCAGAGAAATTACAGTAATTACATTGTTGCCTAGGGACATTGTCACTCAGACTGCCACTAAAGGTGCTTCCTGGATCAGTGTTGCATAGCGTGCAGTACTGGCATTCAGCGTCCCCACACTCTGCATGAATATGCTGAACGCTTTCCAAAGAGAGGCAATGATTCAATGCATCTCTACTAGGAGATGGTGATTGGAGCCAATTTCGTCAAATTTCATGATCTCAGCCACGGGGTACATTTTAACCTAAATTTTTAAATTCTATTTTTAATTTACAGTTTAATGAATAAACCTTCTTGAGTCTTAGCAATAGCTGATAGATGCATTGCATTTATCACTGCTAGATAAATGCATCACATGACCTAAAGCTATGAACTTGGCTCATTGCTCACTATGAACAGATTGAGGCAGCTGTTCAAAACTAATGAGGCTTTAAAGGATACCAAACACATTAACACATTTCATTTGCCATGAGTAAAACAGGACTGTGATGACTAACCTCTTGTGCTGCAGCTGTTGAGGACTACATTTTTCATCCTTTGCAAGTCATTTGGATGAGTGAGTCCACAACAGCAGGAGTACCACGGTTTAGCAATCATTTAATTAATGAGAAAATCCAAACGAATATGCCAATAGTGAAGCCAGCTAGAAGTGCCGCACCCCAAGTGAGATGAGCATACAGTAGAGTTTTTGATTACTTGGTCAACATAACACATATAAACCAGTCAGTGTGGTCCTACCTTCTCAGCTTGGTTCCACACTTCAATGTCCCCAAGAAACTTTTCTGGACGGGTAGAGAGGTTCAGTTTGAACGTGAATCCAAAGACGTCATAAACAGAGCGTAAGAAATCCAGACAACTCTTGATCTCTTCTTCAATCTGAAGTTGAAGTAGTAAAATTAAGCGTTGGTAACTAATTGCGTTTTAGAATTATGAAGGGATGCTGCACTGGCTTTCCGCTAGTGGACAGTGAAGAGGTAGCAAACACTGCATGGATTACTGGAGTAGTAATGGTTCAACCGTACAATGCTCACAAAGGCACAATACAACTAAAAATTGCACAAATACATTGTACATACTGATTACAGACTGTTCCCTCTTATGTACAATTTACACTACTATTTAAAACTGTTGCACAAAGATTTTGTCCACAGAAGCAACCTACCATTAAAATTATAGACTGATCATTTCTTTGTCAGTGGGAAAAGGTTCAAAATCAGCAGGGGACCAAATACTTTTTTCCCCCCTCACTGTATATATTTCCCTTATATGATCATAAAAAAAGCAACCATACGTAAAAGAAACTGGCTGTAAAAATAACGTGACAGCAGACAGTTTGTCAAAGTCAAGTAATTGTGATAGTTGAAAAACTATTCTCATTATCAAGAAATTTTATGGATTTGTCTCAGTCATACTGTGAAACAGAAAGGTTTTCGAATCGATTACCCAGTCACCTGAAACCGTGAAAACACACATTTGAAGGTGTCCTTTACACATGTACAGTTCTGATTTACCCAGAAGCCCTTTTTTAAGTCTATAAGTCATTCTAGTGTGAGAAACAGTAAAAGCAAGCAGTGATTTAGTGTTAAGCGGCCAATTATAGAGAAGCCTGTGATTGGACCGTTTAGACTGCTTTAAAAAAAAAAAAAAAAAAAGGTCTGTGTGCACCAGAGAGATGCAGGAGGGAGCAGTGTTCTAGGCTGCCAATGTCACATGTGCCAGGGGTACAGCTAGCCCCCTGCACACAATTAACAATAATTTTCTGGATGTGCTGTTATTCAAGCAGAAACCCTGCACGTACATACTCCTACCACCATCATCACTTCAAATCACTGATGTGTTCGTGGTGGTTGGAGTAACCCTTTAAAAAATGAAGTCTCTACCCTCCCTACCATTTGATATAAATTGAGATTCTAGTTCTATAACTTGATGAAGGCATCTTGTGAAGACTTTACGCGACTGTATAGCATGCTTAATTTGAAACGTTGCAAATTTAAGATATAAAAAACAATCTACATTTTTTACTTGTACAATATAATATAGTAATGCAGTAAGCAAATACCAGTTCATAGCATTGTGAAAATATGGATCATCTAGGCATGTAACCAACCTACTATTAGTGCCTTGGATATTTTATTTAATATTCACAATACTACGTAAATAAGTTTAATATCATTGCATCTACATATGGAGTCTGCGTTCCCTACCTGCTCCATGGCACAGAATATGTGTGCATCGTCCTGCTGAAACCGTCTTACTCTGGTCAGTCCTGTCAGGGCGCCCGATAACTCGTTACGATGAAGAACTCCAAAATCAGCCATCCGCAAGGGCAGCTCTCTCCAAGAGCGAGGGCGGTTATCAAACATTAGACTAGATAAATGTGTACATGAAATCAGCTTTATTTATTTTATTAAGAGTCTCTAAATTTACAACCTGTCAATAAAACAAACTATAACGCAAAGTAAAAAGGGACTGCACACATCTAGGCGTTTTACTTATACACAGTGGTATGTCACATTAGATAGAAGTAATCTCAGAGCAGGATTCACCATAAAGTGCTCATAGGTAGTTGCCTAGGGCCCAGGGGTTAGAGAGGAGCCCTTGAACCTAGAATATAACTGTCTTATTAACCATCCCTATGTGAAGAGAGAGGGGGGGGAAAAGAAATATAGATAGGATATTAAGAAAAAATAATGCCATCAAGGAATTCTAGATACCATCAGTGGAATTTATCCAAAAAAAAAAAAAAAAAGTTATAAGAAACATTCAATAGACATGATTTTTTTTTTTAAAGGTTTTTGTTCTAAGACCATGTAGGTTTGACCCCTTCACCCCCCCAATTATTATTGCAGAGAACATAATTCTGTCCCAGTTTTAACTCAGGCCTGATAATCTTTAAGTGACAATTGTATCAGACATTGCTGCCTGTAAAAAAAAAATGATTAGCGGATTTATTAATCATACCATCATACTAGTGTGATATAAATTTAGAGCACCCTGAAGTGGTCATTGTTGGTTATTTCATATATATTTATAGATGGTCATTAGTACTAGCCCACTCATAGGAGATAAGGACATTAGTCTTGTTATAAAAGTTTGAACACGAAACAAGAACAAAATATCGAAATTTTCTTTATTTGCATCTTGCCAAAAGCACCAGATTAGACATTTTTATCGTCTATTAGCACTTCCCACATTTTTCTATACCATCTTTTCTCTGATTAATTCCTCATAATTTCTACTGCTACGTGCTGATAGGGCAAAGCAACAAGATTTTATACCGTGTAATGAGCACTGCTAATTGACATACTCCTCCCCATCCGAAACAGTACCTCTATGAAGGAGTGTTCATTTTGTCGACTAACAGCACTGGTCAAATTTTATTAGACTAACATTTTTGAGATTTAGTCGACTAAAACAAAAACAACTGAGATGACTAAAATACGACTAAAACTAAAATGGCTTTTTGGTCAAAAGACTATGACTAAAATTTAAATGGAAATTTGCTGCTAAAATTAACACTGCCATGAAGGAGTGTGCAGTTACCGGTAATTATTTTAATAAGTGCCCCACCATGATGGCATGGGGGACCTTTTGATTGGGGGAGTCTTTTTTTTACTGGCTCGGGAGTGGGGTTAGAAAAAGAAGAAGAAAAAAAGTGATGCAGGGCATTGACAGTGCCGCTTTAATTTTTCTCTTTTATTTAAGAGCTGAAGCAGCATATTACACCTATGATAATATTCCAATCTTTTTAAAATTTTAATTACCTGGTGAGGACTATTATTAATTTATTTCTTTAAGCTATACTAATACTTTATTTTGCTTACGCTATACTAACCGGCATACCTTTTTGCTATCTATAGTCTATAATAATTAATGCAATAAATTTCTTTAATTCTAAAAATTGTTAATTCATTTGCGACGGTTGACAATCTATGTCTTATTTGTTTAATTAATTTTCATGTAATGGTTTAATCTAGATAAATGTATATTGTATATTTAAACAGAAATGTATTGTGATTATTTTTGATAAGTATCCACAATGCTAAACCGATTTATCAATATTTGTTTGAACTCAACAAATAACTCAGATGTATTTCTTAAAAGGGACACTCCAGGCACCCAGACCACTTCTGCCCATTGGAGTGGTCTGGGTGCCAACTCCCATCACCCTTAACCCGGCAAGTGGTTTTATAAACTGCAATAATTACCTTGCAGGGTCAAGTCCTCCTCTAGTGGCTGTCAGACAGCCACTAGAGGGACTTCCGGCTTCTTAGAACATGAAAAGTGTTTTAAATGACGATGGACATCCTCACGCTGTGCATGAGGACCTCCAATGTCGCCGGAATCCCCATAGGAAAGCACTGAATAATGCTTTCCTGTGGGGAGGTCTAATGCGCGCACAGCCATTGCCATGATTGCGCATTAGGTCTCCCCTGCCGGCTGACGTCGGAGGAGCCTGACCCAGTACCGAGGGACATCGGCTCTGGATTCAGGTGTCATGGAAAGGGTTTTACCCCCTTCAGCAAAATGGGATGGGAGTGGCAAGGAGGGGGGCACTGCAGGATCCTGCAGTGCCAGGAGAACTAGTTTGTTTTCCTGGCACTGGAGAGTCCCTTTAACAAGGTAATTATTTTATTCCTTTTCCTTTCTTTCTACTCGCTTCCTTTCCATTCCCCTTTTCTATTCCTTCCCATTTTTAGCAATTCGATTCTAACCATTCTTTGGGCACAGAGCAGGAAGTCTATACAATATCTAATCATTGTATCAAACTGCTGATTTCAGGCTTTGCCTGTAACATGAAGATAAACAAAGTGTGTAGGGTCCCATACCAATGTCCTGGGCAGTTCATTGGTTTGAGAGCAAAGATCTCCTTCTCAACTTCAAATGAGAACATGTTTTCACTGTAGTGCTGCCAATGTCCTGAGGTTTGCCACAGTTTGCTGTTGTAAATATTTGGGGTGACCACCTCTTGGAAACCTCGCTTCCTGTACTCTTGCTACAAAGTGAAGAAGAAAAAAAAAAATGAAATAAGTGGAGGGAAGCATTTAAAATACCCAATCGCCACAAAACTAAGAAAAGAAAGTAGTTGATCAACAGCTACAACATACTTTTAGCAGGAGCCGTTAACATTTTTTGGTTTTAATCTTTGAGTTTAGGTAAGCAAATTAAACTACTCAACATCACAAGGATTCTAATTTCTGAGCGTCTTACAACCACGAGAGCTTCCACTGATATCAGTGGTTTGCTCAGTTGTAACACTGCCAAAGGATTACTTTGGTTACTGGGCACACATTGAGGTCATAAGTCAAAAGACAGATATGTAGTACACTCCAAGAAGCCAGGAGAACCCATCTGCAACGACTTTGTGCCACTAAAGAGTCAACCGCAAACCCCAGATGCAATAACATAGGACAGCGGGCTACTATTGTCAATTGCAATGGTGAAGTTTATCGAGAGGTAAAGACCCTCTAAAATACAACTAAATGCAATTTAACCTTGCCAATGTATTTGGAAAATATATGAACAACTTTTAATGTAATCCCTATGAGTTCGGTAGAATCAAGGAAAACTTGGTCTTGGGGAATCTATGACATTGGATTAGGTCTGTAAAAAAAAAAGCACTTGAAGACTTTATATATTTCTGTTATTTTGGAGTAAAATGTGATATTCAGCTAGCATTGCAGACACATTATGTCTAAAACTTGCTTTTCAGTAAAACTAAAAAAGAAATTCAGCATGACTAATGTGATGGGATACGCTTTAGCGTATATTAGAAAAAATAAAAAAAAATGCATTTTTCAGAAAAAAGGTTGAATTTTGTGACAAAGTGGCACTTTGCAAAAGTTAGAAGCATGATCTGGCATGACAAGTGTAAAACTAGTTTATCTCTTTAAGGAATAACTCTTTGGCACCCAATAAATCCTGATGGTCAAGCATACTAGAAATGACTATTATGGCCTGTCCTAGTTTACCAGCTGGAAATATTTAAAATTATAGGAACAACAAAAGGCAATCTTTCCTTCAAGGACAAGCAAGTAAGAGCAATTTGACTACATTTCAAAAATTACTTACCCTGATAAAGTCGATCAGTTGATTATAAATATAGGCTCCTTTAGGGAGGAAAAAACAGCTTCCCGGACTCAACTCATGGAAAAAAAACAGCTCCTGTTCCTGTGACAATACAGAAATGCACACATTAATTCCGATGTAGTAGAATAAATGTAATTATAAGAAATTCTACAATCAAAATCCTCTAAATATGTAAGTTTATAAAGGATATGGTAATCATGATAATCCTTCTTCAAACTCTTCAAACACTCTGTCTCTGTGACTCCGTCCTCTCATGGTTTTCCTCTTATCCCTTCCAACGCTCATTCAGGGTCTCCATTTCTAATGATACCTCCTCCCCTCGTCCTGTCTCAGTTGGAGTCCCCCAAGGCTCTGTCCTTGGTCCCCTTCTATTTTCTCTTTATACTGCCTCTCTTGGCAAACTTATTACCTCATTTGGATTCCACTACCACCTGTACGCTGATGACACCCAGATATATCTCTCCTCCCTGGACCTCTCCCCTGCCGTCCTGCACCGTGTCATTGCTTGCTTTTCTTCCATCCCTGCCTGGATGTCCTCCCGCTTTTTGAAACTCAAGCTCTCTAAAACTGAAATCCTTGTCTTTCCTCCTCCTAATACTGATACTCCTCCTTCACTCTCCCTTTAAGTTAGTGGTATCCACTTCAGCCCATCCTTGCAAGCGCTCTATCTTGGCGTCATACTTTATTCTGGCCTCACATTTGAGCCTCACATCCAGTATGTTACCAAATCCTGTAGATTCCATCTTAAAAACATAGCCCACAACCGCCCCATACTTACACAAGATGCTACTAAGGAGCTTGCCCATGCTCTAATAATGTCCCGCACGGATTATTGTAACACTCTCCTGATTGGTCTCCCCAAAAGCCGTATTACCCCACTACAGTCTGTAATGAATGCTGCTGCCAGACTGCTTTTCCTCTCTAGTTGGTCCTCTCACACCTCACCCCTGTCAGTTCTTACATTGGCTTCCTGTATCCTATAGGAGTCAATTCAAAGTGCTAACCCATACTTATAAAGCAATGAACAATTCTAGCCTCTCTTATATCTCTTCACAGATCCATAGGTATGCCCCTTCTCGGACTCTCTGCTCTCTAAGTGACCATTTCCTGTCCGCTGCTCGCACGCATGCAGCCAACGCACACTTGCATGACTTCTAGCAGGCGGCTCCCTTCCTACCGCCATCGGACTTTCCCCTAGTCTTCAATCGTGTAAGAAGTGCCTTAAAACCCATCTCTTTAGGAAAGCTTATGGCCTCCCAGAGTAACCTCTACCTCACATACCTGTCTCTTGCTCTTTCCTAACGGGAACAACACTACTATCTCCTCCAGCTCTGCTTCACTCCCACATTATGTGATTGTCATTTCCTGTCCTATTGTGTTTTACCCCCCCACCTCCTATACACTGTAAGCTCATTTGAGCAAGGACCTCTTCAACCTATTGTTCCTGTAAGTTTTCTTGTAATTGTCCTATTTATAGTTAAATCCCTCCTCTAGAATGTCAAGGGATTAAAATACAACTGAACCAAGACTGGCTGAACTCACTCTTCCAATCTTTCGATGGTCTCTGTTTTTGGCCTCTTCTTGGAATTTCTCCCATTCTTTCAGCATTTTGGAGTCTGGGAAGGAAATTCCATAAATTCTCTGCAGTGTTTCCATATCTGCTTTACCCTCCCAGTAGGTGGAAGAGTTCTGGGGAAAAACATATGAGGTTAAAACAGAGTAACAAAGTAATCAGGGCACGAAGTCCTGAGCTAGCTTCACAGCTAAAATTTGTTCTATACCTCAAAGGCATGTGGATGGCTTTAGGTTTTAAAGGGACACTATGGGTACCCAGATCACATAATCTCATTGTGGTCTGGATGCACTGTCTCGGTCTCCTTAAAACTGCAATATTAAACATTGCAGTTTTAGAGAAACTGCAATATTTATATTGCAGGGTTAAGATTGCGTCTAAAGGCTGTCTACAAGACAGCCACTAGAGGCGCTTCCTGCTGTTTCACACAGTTTAGTTCTGGGACACAAAGTGGACATCCGCACGCTTTGGACGAAGACGTCTAGCGTCAAGTCCACCCACAGAAAAGTACTGATTCGATGCTTTCCTGTGAAGAAGAGCTAATGCATGTGCGACGCATGTCAGAAAAGATAGAAGCGGGGCCAGTGGGGAGTGGGGGTGCACAGTTACACTTTAGTGTTAAGAATACAGTTTTGCATTACTATAGTGTTTCTTTAATGCAAGGCTTGTTTGCATCATGAAGTCTACGTGAATGCAGTGCAGAGATATATGGGTAGACTGCCACAATGTTTATGTATGTATGTGTGTGAATGCACGATCTATGTATAATGTTTCAAAGTATGAGGACCCAAGGGTGTATATGATGTGTGTCAGTGCAATTATAAATTAGATATGTGAAGATCAGTATGTGTAAATATAGAAGTGTTTTTTGTAGATTGTCAGAATTTGGGTTTATTAAAGGTTCCTGTCCTATCCGCTATCCACTTTCTTCTCCCAATTCAAAAAAGACAGACCATCTAGCAGGGACAGATGTTAATCCCTTAAATTTTAATGCTTTAATCCTTTAACGGCATTTCATTCCATCTTAAAAAAACAGTGGGCTTTATTGCCGTTAGGACTGTGATTTTAAAAAAAAAAGGAAAAGAAACCCAAATAAAAAACAATATATAGTATATATGCATGTACTTAATGTGAAACACATAGCACAAATTTTTTATTTTGCTTTAGTTCAGAAGTTGGACAACTGCCTCGGTCATTAAGGAGGTATTAATTTAATACCTTATGGATCTTTAGAGCCTTAATCTTTCCAGTATGTCTCACATGGGGTCCTCTGCACAGATCTATTAAAGGGCCACACCTGAAATCAGAAAAAAAAAAAAAAAAAAGGAAAAACTAAATTACATTAAAACAGAGCATTATACACATTAATACAATATGCTACACCTATGTTTCTCAAAGGGCAATTTCACATTGTTGAATGGTGAAAATAAAATGAAAATAAAAAAAATAAACATGGTTCGGTGCTTAACGCGCACCTTTAAATTTATGCAAAAACCGATATCAATATTCAAGAGATACATTCAAGAGATTTCTCACAATCCATCTTAATGCTTATTTTCACAACAGTATAACAACCATAACTGTGCACTCCTGGCATAAAGGTTATTTACCCTATATTGGTGACAGTTTAGACTTTCACAATTATAACATTTTAATTCTTACACAACATCAGGACAAATTCCCTTTGCGTCACATTCCCTTTTTTGCTTACTTACAAATTCAAATAATAATATACTTTCAGTTGTAATCCATTTACAAAACAGTGTATAGCCCAACATCCTATACTCTCTAGTTTGTCAATCTTCCCAACCCCATTACTTCATCAGGTTATCCCAGACCAGTAAAAAAAAAAATAAACAATTAAAAATTAGCTAATTACCCTATACCAATAAGTTGTATTTACAAATGGACAGCTTTTCCACCCTTTCTCAAAATGACAAATACATTACAAAATCACTTTTCCCATCAGTGGAGTGCAGTAAATGCCTATTTGGTTACTGATTCCCAACACCAACTAAATGTGGACTCTTGCAAATGCCTGAAATGTGGGATGGAAGGGGCTAGTTTATTCCACTAATTTGTGGCTGATCTAAGATAAGTGAATTTTGGTCAGAAATTTAAACCAATATTGAATCTTTTTACATTTTCCAGTGCTGCTATCTCTGAAACTGTACATTTCAGTATTTTCCCCTAAGCACTCTAAATTTATTTAAATGGTTATGGTGGCTGCCAGGAAGACCATTCTCAACACCTGGACCTATGTGTTTACACTGGGAGGTGTCAACACAATCCAATTTAAAGAACAAAGGGTGTTTCAATATTTCTCTGTTTTTAAATTATTGGGAACCTTATATCACATCTTTGGATTCCCATCACAAGGCTCTTCTTTACAAAAAAATTTAATTCATTAACCAGTACTCTTTGTAGATCATTTTGCAGAGGCCTCCACTCTAAATAGTTTTTTACCTTGGGCAAGGATAGACATAGGAAAGTTCATGACATGGCGGGTTGTAAGGAGACCATTATTATTTGGTACTTGCCATATTTTTTATATTTGAAGTCCCTGGACTTGCAAGTGCCAGGATTAGTAGCTTCCACAGTCCACGCCAGGGAAGACACTCAGCTTTTTATAGCACTGTTGAGGTCATCATATAAATACTAGCACAGCTTCATGGGCACAGTAAGAGAGTACTTCAATTATCACCTTTCCAGTTGAACTACATGATAACCCAGAGAAACCTAAATAATTTATGTACTATGTTATTGATGCAAAATAAAGAGAATAATTAAAGGGATTCTATAGTGTTAGAAGTACAGATTTGTATTCCTAACACTAGTGTCCCCTCAACATAAAGGGTTAAAAAATACTTAAGTTGCTCACCCAATTTTAGCACTGATGTACCTTGGCACTGGGTCAGCACACAAACTCTCCCAACGTCATCCGACATGGGGGACTTAAACACGCGTGTGCATTAGGCCCTCCCCATAGGAAAGCATTTGTGGATTTCACTGATGCTGAACGTCCTTCATTTAGGGGACCCAGAGTCCAGTAAATTCCTGGAAGCCACTCCAGTGGCTGTCTGGTAAACAGCCACTAGAGGCAGTCTTAGTACTGCAGTATAAACATTGCAGTTTCTCAAAAACTGGAATGTTTTACATTGCAGGACTAATGGGAACAGAGACACTGCAGATTGTTTCTTGCATAAATGTTAGATTTAAAACATAAAATGAATTCTCACCTGTATACTGTCGTGGTTGGTGTATCTACCTTCTCATTTAGAATTCGACACTTGAACTTGTTGTACTAATTGAAGAACAAAAAAGAAGAAAAAAAAAAAAAAAAGTCAGACACTTGCTGTTCAACCACTCACTGGTACATGGACATGTGCTCTACTGAAAGAGTATTTAAAAAAAAAAAAAAAATGTAAAACATAAAATCGATAGCAAATTTATAGATTTGGATATTTAAAGTTGAAAATATGGTATCCCTGCCCCACTGTCAATTTTCAGCATATTCCAAGGATTGAGTGACAGACTAGAGCAGGAGAATCTTCCTGTGGGCAGATCTCCTTCTCTGCATCGTAGTGATATTTAAAAAGCATTATAGGAAGTGACTGCCATCCCGGTCATATTGCTTATGTGATAACAGTTAAGGCAGTGTGTTGGTGTCATGGATGCCTTGCTGATCACAGCTCTAATATTAAATAATATTTATCTTTAAGATAACATTTTAGATTTAGTGCTCTAGGAGGCAATATAGATGAATAATTATTATTCTAGCTTATATATTAAAATCACTTTAAACGAGCAGCTCTCATGGTGCAAGGACACTGGGATACATGCTCTCTCTTTCCCTAAAACGTGTTCCTGCTCTACATGGAGCCTTTAGCAGTGCCAATAGGGTGTACAGTGATTCGACACAGTTGCATCCGACACCTGTACAAATATTTTGGACACAATTCAAACGTCCTCCTATGACATCCCAAGCAGAGGGGTTGGGATTTGGGTGCCCTGTCAATCCACATGAAAAAGCTGGAATGTTCTTAGAATAAAACCACTCAAAGTCACAAACACTATAAAGTACCTTATTATTCTCAAAGGTTACACCCAGCATAGAAATCATTACTTATAGAAAGCGAAATTAAACTGATGCATATCAATAAGGCCCTGTTAATTCCAGCATCCTTTTCCACATCCTGTTTAACATGTTTGACTTTGGACAGTACAAGATCAACACCTGAAGCTCCTTAACCCCTTAAGGACACATGACATATGTGACATGTCATGATTCCCTTTTATTCCAGAAGTTTGGTCCTTAAGGGGTTAAGCAATAAGCATTGGTTTTCTTTTAACCATGCCGCTATTTTATCAGTTGTGTGACAAAAATGCCAACAATTACATACTAAACAAACACAATATTATATTGTACAATAGCACAGATTGTGACCATGCACAGGAGACATGCTGTGTAAATTTTCAGAATTTTAAAAAAGGAAAAATACACAGGTCCTTCAAATTACTGTAATCAAGAGCCAAACTACTTCCTGAACTTAGTAAGGTTTACAAACTTATCTTTTGACATTTGCTTATCTGAGCTTCTAATGACTGTAGATTTGCAAAATTCGACCCTGAAGGAAAGGGTTGAGTTGGCCAGTCATACACCAGCAGCTATCATAGCATTTCAGGATATCCTGTTATTATGGGTCATTCATTCACCTGTAGATTTGTATCGGTTTGCATTCCCAGCCCTAAGTAAACTGAAAAGACTTTTAATCCTAGACTATTTCTCAAGTCAATGATAAAATCAGGGAGGGGGAAACTAAGTCTTTCACTAACGTGTAAACATTTACTAGTAATCTGAATGTGCAGAAAATTGCAGAGAGGGAGTAAAATTAAAACTTAACCGATACTGAATAGGACAACTAAAATGGACCTATTTGACTTTACAGCTTCACTTATTTTGTCTTTATACAGCGAACAAAAACAAACAAACCCACATACAACACAAGAAATATAAGCCTAAATGAATGTGAGTTTCACTATGGATGCATAAACAGAATATAGAAAAACGAATACATTACCTATAGCTAAATGATAAGGAATATAAAATACATCTCTCTGTAAAACATGAAAAGCACACTATGGACATGTAGATGTTCTGTATTCTGAAACAGTGAAATGTGTCCGTTTCCTGTGTGGCAGCCAGATTATCCCACAGCCATTTAGCTTGTTACCTTAAACATCTCCAGGAGAGTTTCTTTTTTAACTTCCAGTCTCTCAAATGGTTGCTTCTCCTTCATGATCTTCTTGCATAGGTTCTCCAGGCCAGTAAAGTCATTGCTGGACACACCACTGGCAAGCAGACAGTGAAAGGTGGGATATAAAGTAGAATGCATGTAAATAACCTTCTAATTGACTTATTTGAATATTAGTCCATACAGTAGATTGCCAAGTATTCTGGTAAAACATCTTTAAAGTGAGAATATTTTTCATATTTTTTTTTTTGAGTGGGGCAGTTTTTATAAATATAAAAACTACCCCACACAAAAAAAAAACAAAGAACAACAAACAAATTATGTTTTCTATACATCTACTATGAAAGAGTACACAAAATAATAAAAATAGATTTGTGAAGATTTGGTTATATTTGTTCCTGTGTTAAAGAATTTCACATTTACTACAGCTATTTGTTTAAACTTTAAAAATCCATTAACCACGTCCATTATTAGACAGGATTTTAAATAAATAAACAATATAGTACTACAACAAGGGCCACTTAGATCAGGTAACATAAAAGCCATGTAGAAACATTGCACTCCATTGTCTCAAACGGGATCTGTTTGCTTTTGTCAGATTTGCCATTATCTTCCAAAAGACCGAGTTTAAGTTTCAGATTAGTGGTCAGTATCTAAGCAACAGAGTGACTTCTTCCTAAAGCAAACGCTTGCTACCAGTGACAATATCAAACAAATACACAAAACGTTGTGAGTTCCAGGATATGAACAATAAGTCAGACAGTTATAGTGTAAAAGTCAGAAATGTTAAAGTGAACAAAACGACAAACATAAAGCTAAAATAGCCAACATATTTATAGGTCATTGGAAACATGGTTCAACATTTTCAAGGAAGTTGGGCTCCAGCCAGACAGTTACTGCTATAATAGAGATTTCAGGTATGAGGGAAACCGACAGGGGACCTTGGAGACTCTTGGACTAGAACCTCTACAAGCCGTGTGAAGCTCTGCCCCACAGAGTTGTTCTGCAGCGACTATTAAAGTGCACTGCTATCAGGTGGCTTACATTTTATTTTGGCATTAAAATTTACTTTTCTGAAATGTACAGGCTTATCCACTCAAGTCAGAATTTCTTGGAATGCAAAGGGAGATTGGTCAAATTTGGGCTAAAATAGTCGAATTAGAAAACATCTTTAAGACAATCCTGTTTTCACCTTGGCTGTTTCCAATTCCCTACATTCACAAGCAATACAATATTTAGACAAATATAAACTGAGCTTTCACAAAGACACATTGAGTAACTATACAAATATGACCCTGCATTCAAATACACTTTCACTCCATGCTGCAGAGAAACGGAAATCTACAACATAATGATGTAAATCTACCTATGTGGTGGCCAGTATGTCAGGGATTGAGACTTGACACCTTGTTAGAAATATGCTACCATTACTAAAACTGACATCGAATTATACTCCTCACCTCCAGGACGGACCTTGGCTAAAGATGATGGGACGGTTATGTTAAAGTGTTAAAGTGCTGCAGGTACTTAACAAGATATACAGTAAGACAAATGTAAATAACCCACTCACCCATCTTCAAGATACATGTCATAATAAAAACCACTTTCAATAGGTGGTCCATAGCACAAGCAACCGCCGTATACCCTCTCCATCGCTTCTCCCATAATGTGTGCACTCGAGTGCCAGTATACCTAGTAAGTTAAGTCATAAAATCAAAGAATGCACAAACACTAGCCATCAATCAAAGCTATGAAACTGATGCAGCGAATCAACTCACAGATAAATCTAAAAGCTGCAAAAATGTTTGCAGTTAAACTGAAAAGTTAATTTGGAATTTTGTAAACGACAAAGAATATGGTTTGTTGCAGGTAAAGTATTCAACTGTAAACCGTACACTAAGCCAGGGGTAGGCAACCATTGGCACGCCAGATCTTGTGGGCTACATACCCCATAATGCTGGCACAGCATCACGGGAGATGTAGTCCACAACATCTAGAGTGTGGAAGATGTCTCCCCCTTGTAAGCTATTCAATTTGCCAGCAAAATATATAGGATTAAGACCTTAACTTATCTCTTTAAATTATTTTTGGTTTCTTTTTCAATAAATGTGGGATGTTTGCTTGCAGTAATGTGCATTGTTTAAAGGGGACAGACACAAATGTTGTAGGGGTTACACAGACTCCTTACACTATTTCCTTTTGGCAAAAAGCTATAATTACTTTGGCTGGGAGGGATTTTTTGAGTGTTACTATAAGGTATATAGTTTTTGCCTTTATGCAGACAATGAACTGAAATCTTGGAAAAATGGAAATTAAAAAAAAAAAAAAAAAAAAAAACCAGTCTATAACGTTGTTAAAGGACCACTATAGTGCCCTGAGGGTGCCCCCACCCTCAGGGACCCCGACCCGCCGGGCTCTAGGTGGAGGAAGGGGTTAAACTTACCTCTTTCTCCAGCGCCAGACGGGGAGCTCTCCTCCTCCTCTCCTCCATTTTGGCTGAATGCACATGCGCGGCAAGAGCCGCGCGCACATTCAGCCAGTCCATAGGAAAGCATTCACAATGCTTTCCTATGGACGCTGGCATCTTCTCACTGTGATTTTCACAGTGAGAAGCACGGAAGCGCCTCTAGTGGCTGTCAAGAGACAGCCACTGGAGGCTGGATTAACCCTAACATAAACCGCTATGTTTATAAAAAAAAAAAAAGGGTTAACCCTAGATGGACCGGGCACCCAGACCACTTCATTTAGCTGAAGTGGTCTGGGTGCCTAGAGTGGTCCTTTAAAGGAGCACTATAGTGACAGGAAAACAAACCAGTTTTCCTGGTACTAGAGGGTTATTAGGTCCCGCTGTGGATTACCTTAATTCAGCACCGGGCACCCTTGGCGCGGGTGACCTCTCCTCCCCCTACCGATGTCAGCTCCAGAGTGGCTTTCCTCAATGCTTTCCTATGGGGATCTGAACTCACACTGCATGAGTTCAATGCAATTTTCACACTGAGAATTGCGGAAGCAGCCTCTAGTGACTGTCAGGGAGACAGCCACTAGAGGCTGGATTAACCCTCAATGTAAACACAGCAGTTTCTCTGAAACTGTTATGTTATCAGCTGCAGGGTTAAAACTAGGGAGACCTGGCACCCAGACCACTTCATTGAGCTGAAGTGGTCTGGGTGCCTATAGTGGTCCTTTAAGTAAATCAGTGCTAATGAGAAGTCTGAGTTTGACAATTAAAAGAAAATGTTAATGTTATTTTTCTTGTATACTTAGCATTGCTGCACTATTTTACAAATTGTTTACACTATAAGTCACTGCAGGAAGTGAGACAGGGTTTTCTCTGCACCAAAACCTTTGCAATGATGCAACATTGTTATGGTGCTATGGGTGACACTAACTACGCAAACAGAATTCCAGACTCACACAGTGAATTTAGTGAACATAGCGAGCAAAACTTAATAAGAATTTCACTATTCAATATTTACCGCTTGAGCTTCTTCATCATCAAATTTCAACAGTTCTAAAGTGCAGTTCTCTTCCAGCGGGCGATCAAGGTCCCAGACAACTTTATTTACTTTTGCAATAACAGTATTATCAGCCAAACCTTGACTGTAAAACACAAACATTTCACATAGAATTAGCATTGCACATTTACTTGAAAAACAGGCACTAAGGTCAAAACGTACAAGAAAGACAGCATTTCTAATGCAGATCTTATAAACGTCAAGAAGAACAAGTTGACCACTGGCATGGAGGACCCAAAAATTCCATGACACTAAGAAGCTGCAGGTTCATTTTGACTGTAGCGTAAAAGTGATCAGCCTACTGAGTTAATAAAGCAATTTCTGGTATTTTGACACTGTAGGTACACGTCGGTCAAAATACTACTTTTCATCCTACAACAGTTACAATTACCTAACTCTTGCGCTTATTTACTACGGTCTCAGTATAAAAGAAAAAATATACAGTATCAGGATCTCTACAAGTTCACATTATTAAAGTGATGGGATCCCTTTAAATACCACTCTATAAACATATTCATGACTATAAAGAACAGGTTTATTCACTAGTGATTTTATAACAGTGTATCTCAAAAATTAAAAACCATTTCCTTTTTTAAAAATAAAATAAATAATAAAATAAATAAAAACAAATACACACACTACTTTTTCACATTAAAAAAACCAGAAATAGATTTAGAGTAAATTGTATTACAATCATAACCTCGATTATCTGTTCCCCAACAATTTCTTCCGAATGCAGTAAAATATGTTCACTAGGTTAAGAGGCAACTACCATTTAGCGGAGGAGCCAGCTAACAGTTTTGTTTGACCCGCTAGTGTTATTGTAACTGGCCCTGAGATCTGTATCTGTGAAAGGCTCAATGCAGTTATCCACAGAAAATATCTACAGAAAATTCCCAAAGAAGGCAGCTTTATGGCTCATGCTTTGGAGTTTTTTTTTTTAAGTCTTAGACAAGAACATACAGGTCTGGAACAAAGTTTAGATGCGGCAAAATTTAGTCAATAGTATTTTTCCCATAAATTCATTGAAATTAATGTTTTTACTGTTGCTGCTACAAGGGTTTGTTTTTACCTGATCCCAGCGGCTAACTGATATGGTGTGGTCTTCCAAGATTCGGCATCTACTTGTTTGCCATCCGGCAAGGTGACTGTGATAGGTTTACTGTCCTTTGTGGCTTTCTCTGCTAGAAGGGCATCATGTTCTGCTTTCAGTTTGTTGTAAATGTCAAGCCTCTGGTTGATATATTCAGGTAAAGGATTCAACTAAAGATTAAAAAGCAGAAATCGAAAAGCACCACGGTTAAATAATGGATTATTGTCGGGCACAATCCTGTGGATAACATGGTCTGCCTTAAATGAACTGTATGACATACAGTAAACCTGTATATTGTACCAGTGAAATCAATTTATAAAAATTATACACTAAATTCAATATATTACAGTTATACACTACTGCAGCTTATATTACCAACTCTAAGCTGCATCTAGCACTCCACATTGTAGAAGTAATTGCCGTCACTATACCTGTAGAATATACAGCTATTTTGATCTTAGAAAGTTATGAACTTATACAATTATAATTTACTTGCACATTTGCTAGTTGATGCTTTCAAATGTTGAAATAAAAAAAAAAATTGTCCGGAACTGTAACTCAACCTCCAGCAGCCCAGAACGAGCGTCCCAGGCTGGCTAATGAATGTTAATTCTGTGCATATTCAATGCCCTCATGTTCATTATTTGGTTGAGAGCACTTATCTGACACTCTAAGACAAAGAGTGAATGAACAAACAGAATAGGCATCCAGCTTCTGCAGCTTAAGTAGAAGCCAGATGCCATTCAGTTGACGTGGCAACAGTCTAGATGCACAGTTTTAACTAAGTAAGAAGGAAACAATTAAAAAATGGTTTGCCCACTTATCGTAAAATATCACACGAGTACCCCTAGTTTCATATTTACTATAGTAGGTATGATGCATGGAAAAACCCTATAAAATTTACCATTGCCAAAGCAATCTCAATGTAGAGCTAAAACAGCATATATGACGGAATCAAAATTGTAAACAGAAAGGTATACAGACAAAGACAAAACAGGTTTAAGTCACTGCTGCTCCCTTGCCGATTGGGATGATCCCAAAACTAAAGATTAGCCTGAACTGTTGACAATGATTAGTATTTTACCCCCCCCTAGACCCTATTCCAACTGTGTGGTCATGGGATAAGGCAGACCAAAGCAAGGGTCTTAAACCTCTGAAACAGACCGCTGTCTTACAAGCTAGGTCCTGCTAGATAGTTCCAAGTCCTTGAAATTGCCAGAGAGAATTTGTGCTGGAAAATTAAAAAAGAAAATTATCTCCAGACTAACAAACATTAAAAAGAATTGATAACTGTAACCTATGAATGAATTTCCTATCTAAGCAATTCTAATTTAAAAAGGTCAGTATCAACAGGAAATGTTTACACCTGAAAAATTCTGAAACGATGAAATGCAAAAAAAAAAAAAAAATTGCATTGCCTTTTCCAGACATCTGTGCAAGCAGCAGGACCCTGCTTAGTAAAGAGTTGGATCTACTCCACTATTTACCAGATGAATGCAAATACTTTGTTCTGCCAACAGCTAGATTACTGATATGCCTTCCGTAATAGCAGCTACTCAATTTGATATGGCATTATGTGTATCACACACAAAAGGCACATAGTAAAAGCTGTTGATGGATTTTTCCAAAGTGTAAACGGTTGATGTGACTTCCATTCCTCAAAACTATTAAATGGACACTCAAAGCATCGAAACAACCTTAGCTTAATTAAATGTTTTTGGTGTTTAGATACATACTGTGATGCCCTCTGACAGGAATCAAACAGTTTAACAATGGTTTAACAACTTATCTGGGTTCCACAGGAGCCTGCGCCACATTTGGCTCCTGATAAGCACAACCCAATTCAGGGCTGTCTTCATTGGCTGAAAGCACTCAGCTGACAATCTCAGCCAATGAGAGTGGACCCGTGCAACTCGTAAACAGGGCAGTGGCTATGAGTTCCCACGGACCATGTAACTTTTAAAACCATCCTTAAACTGTTTGCTTACTCTTGGAGCGTGCGCAGGCATTCCAAGCACCATAACCACTACAATGGGCTGTAGTGGCTGTGGTGCTTGTAGTGTTCCTTTAATGATGTCAGTGGAGGGTGATCAACTGCAGAGAGGAGTCTTACTCAGAAATGGAGTATAGATAATTGTAATAGTATTCTGCGTTTTTTCTTCTCATAAAAGAAAAACAAAAACCACAGTAATCTGAAGTTATTTAATAAAAAATGTCTAAGCATTACTCTAAGTAAGCATCTCCAAATTTCACACAAAGAAATCTCATAATTTAACAGCAGAAAGCAACTAAGATAATGCTACCCAAACACAAACCAAAAATCCCACTTTTTCTGTTTTCTCTGGCCATCTTACCTCTGCACGACCAACATCACCAGATCCATCCTTGCCTTTCTTCTTTCCTGCTTCTTTGTGTTTTCCCCCTTCCACTTTTGGCTGGTAGATAAAAGTAGATGTTAGCATTTTTTGACATACATGGCTACAGGTATTCATAGAAGCCTAGATGCCAAGGATTAATAAAGTGCAATTATACTTTAGAAGACCTTCCTAACCAAGTCTAGAGAGACGTAGGAAACAATAATATATATTACTGCAGTTGTTTTAAACGTTACTGTCTTTGCTAGATGTATTCAGCAATCAGAAGTTAGTGTAAAATAAATATGTATCCTTGTCCCACAACAGTTCCTTACACTACCACAATCCGGTACATAGGACAGTAACAGACAAAATGCTGTATTATGGTGGTAAAGGGACATTATAGGCACCAAAACAACTTTAGCCTAATGAAGCAGTTTTGGTGTATTGATCATGCCGCTGTAGTCTCACTGCTTAATCCCCTGCCATTTAGCAGTTAAATCACTTTGTTTATACAGCCCTAGTCAAACAGTCTTCATGAACAATTCCTGGAAAGGAAAGTAGATATTCTCGGTTCCTTTATTACACAGTCTGTTTAATGTAGAATTTCAGATAGCCTTCTAGGCCACGCAGGAGACTCATGTGATTAAAGTTTAAATTACAGCGCAGGATATAAAAGCTTCTAAAGAAAGTTAACATTGGATTGAAAATGCAACCATTTTTAATATTGGCTGTGTGACTCACAATCACAAAGCTCAGAGAATATGCACAAATATCATAATGAAACACGCTGAGGCATTAGGATACCACAATCAATTATTTAATTTGAGAGATCAGCTGAAGATAAACAGTGAAGTAGCAGAATCACGTAGGTAAACAAACAAGCAATGCAGCAAAATGTATTTATCAGTTACAGGTGAAGAGAACATTTTCTAAAGGCATCCACACCAAGTAGAAAATTAAAAATAATTATTTCTTCAACGGACCAGGACCCTGCTTTCTTCCTACGAAGGTTGATTATTAAAGTATTTGGATCAGAATGATATTGGACTTTTTCGCCAATATCAAATTTAGTATCCATGTATAGTCCATTTTTTTAAACACACTTCTCCATAGGGCAGAGGGCCATGGAGTGCTCTGAAGCCCACGGTGTCATGTAGCCCCTAGTACTGGTCCTATGAGGAATAGGTTGTAATGGATTGACCACAGACCCCAATTGATGAGGTGCATTTTATAAAATGTATTTTATAACCAACACGGGATGCCATAAATGTCCACTATTTATTTTTACTTAGATTATGGAATATGCAACTACATGTCTACTGTCAGATTCTGTGAGAGATATTTTTCTGCATTTTTCCGTTGATTTGCCCTGGTCAGTGAAAATTGCACAGTCGAAGTTATTTTCTGAAGATGTGTTTCTGGCCTTTCGACCATCATCTCTCCCTGATGACCTTCATGGCACAGTCTCTTCAGATTTTGGTTCACGTAAGGCATAGCTGGTGCAGTGTCATAAGGATCCAGCGTTGATTCCAAAACTGTTGTTTGTTTTGTTTGGTCGGAGCATTGGGAGGAATATTTGACACCTCTTAATATTAAAGCATGGTCCATCTGAAGACTGGACTTGACTGTCCAGAGCACCAAGAGTGGGCAGACTACTTTAAGAGCTATCAGTTGGGGGACCCCAATAGACACAAAGGGCTTCAAACAAGTGATATCCATTTAATAATGTTTTGTATGGCTGGCAAATCATGGACATTAAAATAGTTTTATACCTGTGGGATCAATATCCTCTGTTATGTATGCATGTGATGAAGGAGGTGGCTAAGTTTAGTTCAAGGATCATTATAGGGTCAGGAACAAACATGTATTCCTGACCCTATAGTGTTAACACCACCATCTAGCCCCCCTGGGCCCTCATGCCTCCATAAATATAGTAAAAATCTTACTGTATTCAAGCCCGAAGCTTAACTCTGCATACTGTTAGACTCAGAAAAACAAGCAGTCTGCTGACATCATCATAAATGGTGGCCTGATCCAATCACAGTGCTTCCCCATAGGATTGGCGGAGACTGACAAAGAGGCAGATCAGGGGCAGAGTCAGCATGATTCAAACACAGCCCGGGCCAATCAGCATCTCCTCATAGAGATGAATTGAATCAATTAATCTCTATAAGGGAAAGTTCAGTGTCTGCATGCAGAGGGAGGAGACACTGAATGTTTGGATGCATTTTAGGCAGCCATGAACCAGTAAGGATCTCTAGCAGCCATCTGAGGAGTGGTCAGTGAAGTTATCACTAGACTGTAATGTAAACACTGCATTTTCTCTGAAAAGACAGTGTTTACAGCAAAAAGCCTGAAGGTAATGATTTGTTCTGGTAATGACCAGAACAAATTCAATAAGCTGTTGTTCTGGTGACTATAGTGTCCCTTTAATTTTCAGGTTGACATCCAAAGTCATCTTCCATGCTGTAAGACTGCCCTATTTATCCTTTTCCTATGGGAAAATATAGTTTAAACATCAATTAGGAATTTTAATCAAGCAAACAAGAAAAGACACCACAGGGTACATTCAGCGACACACCCTTTAATTTTAATACTTTAGCTGGAAAAACTAGAGTGAAGGTAGATACTGTGCTGGTTATAAGCAACATAAAATCGACAGTGCGTTAAAGATAACAAATTCAGTATAGTCGGTCAGATCATATTCAATATAAAAATACCCTTACTATTTACAAAGGCATACAACAGACCGCGTTCTGGTTTGATGAAGACTAGTTAGACAAGTAACAGTGCAGAACAACTGCTTTGACTGCATAATGTGCACTATACGCCCAACATAATGGCCTAGATTAGAATAAGCAGACATCAAAAACAGGTCATGAGATTTAAGGTAGATACGCCTTTAAAGGCAAGAGAAAAATAAGCCATTATAGATTACTAGTCTTCCATGTCACTAAAATGTAATTATTAGCCTCTTTCCATGCCCCTAGAATAATTATTAAACCCAATCCCCAGCATTAGAATAATAATTAGTCCACCATTTTGTTAGAATAATGATTAGCCCCCTCCCCGTGCCATTGGTAGAATTATTAAACCCTCCCCCTCCCCGTACCATTGGTAGAATTATTAAACCCCCCTCCCCGTGCCATTGGTAGAATTAGTAAAACCCCCCCCCGTGCCATTGGTAGAATTATTAAA